TGCTGACTATTTTAATCATAACTTTTTCCACACACCTCCAAATGATGTGATTCCTTTTTTATTAGAAAGTAGACTCAAAGATCTTTCCAATGACTACTAATTTATAATTTTTGGACACCTGAGTAGGTGCAGTTAATTCTTTAAAGTTAACGTTTTATATATTTCTACCACCTCTGACCTTTGCTGGTTGTTTTGCTCATAACTTTCTCCACCGAACTCCAAATGAGTTGATTCTTGTTTTGTTGGAAAGCTCTTTGAGTCTAGATTCCAACAAAACAAGTATCAAGTCGTTTGGAGTTCGGTGGAGAAAGTTAAGAACAAAACAAGTAGTAAAGTTCAGAAAAACAGAGTTTGGGAGCAGTGTTCATCTAGTTGGGGAGTACAGTTGAAGTTTTTGTACAAATTACCCATTTTCCTCGGGTAATCGATTACAAGACCCTTGTAATCGATTACCAGGGCAGAAATTGGCCAAAAATGCTTATGAAGCTCATCTAACTTACATGAAAGCACCTAAATGACATTTTTTCTCAATAATTCAATGACTTAACATGTTCCTACACCATACACACTAGACACATGCACTTGTAATCGCTTACAGAGAAGCTGTAATCGATTACCAGGTTAAAATTGCATTTTTGTACTGAAAGTTGATTTGCGCTACCCAAATGTGACAATTGCGCTCCCCATGATTGTTTTTTGTGAGTGTCTTTTTAAGATATTGTCAATGGAGGACCCTTGTTGGTCATGGTTGATGGTTTTCACAACTTGTAGTGTGAAGTTTGGTAAGTCTTCTGTGTAGGGAAGACCCATCCTGGGTGGTCTTAGCAACGCAGGTTAGGTCCTGCACCATACACTGTGGAGACATGCACTTGTAATCACTTACAGAAAGGCTGTAATTGATTACATGTTAAATTTGCAGTTTTGTACTGAAAGTTGATCTTTGCTACTCAAGTGTGACAACCGCGCTCCCCATGATTGTTTTTTTGTTTGTTATGAGTGTTTTTAAGATTTTATGAATGAAGGACCCCTGTTGGTCATGGTTGATGGTTTCTACAACTTCTAATGTGAAGTTTGGTAATGAATCAATGGTGAGTGCGAAAAAGCCTAAACCTTGGTGATACCAACCTCGATGGTGTGTGCGAAAAAACCCAAACCTTGGGAGAAATATCGCCAACCACAATGGGAGACAAAAGCCAAATACTTACACAACCACGAAAATGTCGTCAACGACAATGCACGCCAAAATCAACAAAATTCCAAAACGAGGGATATATACCGCCAACGAGCCCACAGTCACACCATCAAAATATGGGGAAATGGATAAAGAGAGACAAAATCCTCGACAGTGACCAAATGACCCAAGAAATGAAGTAAGAAAAGTCGAACTCAAACTCAAAGGGGAGAGAGAAACAACATTTCAATGGTGGACAAAGAGTGAAGAAAAGCGACGAACGAAGAGAACCGAAACGGTGGAGAGAGATGGATGCTTCAATGGTAGAGAGAGATGGAAGCTTCAATGGTGGAGAGAAAGTTGAGAAAACCAAACTGCAAAAAAAGTGAATCTGAAAAAATAAACTGACAAAAGGAGTTTCTATCCAAATTCATACCAAAATTGCCCTTCTGAACAAATTTCATCTTTCTAAAAAAACCTTTTAAAACCAATCAATGAAACAAGGCCACGTGTCGTTGTCAAAAAGTTGGCAAAATAGCGTTGTCGAACAAACGTTTTCCCTGTAATATTGAGCATATTTTTAAAGATTCTTTGTCTTAACATTTTGGTGAGAAAAACAAAAGGCATCTTTCATTGAAGAATATATTCAAAATGGCATGCCTAAGCTTCAGTTTCCCATAAAAAATTGAAGCATTTTTATTTTTGAGGTCTGATCAAATAGATATCAAAATGCATGTAATTAGAGGACTTACACCTTTGCAAGTAAAGGTAACAGACGCTGTTGATGACTAGGGTAATCGAGAAGTAAAACTTCAGGCCCATTTGGTGTAATGGAGAATGCCCGCCTTGTCAGTGCATATCTTATAGCAATGGCCAAGCTAATCTAAGGACAAATAAAGGACACGATAAGTTAAGATATCAAATTTGGAATGAGTTAGTTAAATACAAAGAAAATAAAAAACACAGACAAACGTGAAATCCACAGACATAGATGGTCTCACTACCTTGGAAATGTAAACAGCAGTAGCAGCAATAATAACCCGACCACTGGTCAACGGGGCTAAGAAAGCAGCAAACCTCTGTAGCAAGAATAACGTACAACAAAAGATACGTGAACAAGCTTCTCAAAGTGAATAAAGAAGACCACAAGGAGACCAAAGGGAATATCATCTCTCTGAAAAAGCAAATCACCTGATCAACATTTTTTATGTCACTCAAATATTCACCAGTTGGGGAAACATCACCCACAGAATTCAACAAATTCTCCCGAGGTATCCTCACATTATCAAACCTGAGGATCCGTGTCCAGAGTTTCTGAGTTCATTCATTTATATGAGATTCATTTTTCAAGCACAACTTGTTTGAAGATGCATATATTACCAGATACGGCCATTATCAACTCCATTTACACCAATTTTGTGACCACAATCGGCTATTCGAATGTTTGGACATATGTTTCCATCTGAATCCCTGATTTGGGCAATGAATGCATGCACCCCTTGATTGCTTCCATTTACATAGAGCTGTGAAAAGACTATAGTATGTGTTGCATGCTGAATAGGAGAACAAGTTAATAATAAAGGGTTAATATATACAAAGTTGGAGCAGGAGAAAAATGTAAGCACCCATTCTCTTCATGTCTAGGCTTTTAAATAATTATGAATTATACAAAAGGAATCATTACATTTGCTGCACCACCAATCCAATACTTCTGACCCGATTCACATGGAGTATTGACTACAAATTCTCCAGTGTTTGAATCATAAGTAGTGACTGTTTCAATTCCTCGCACCTGTAAAAATTAGTGTGGAAAGAATTATTAAAGGTAACGGAAAAATCATAATAAATTACTAGCNACTTCAACTGTACTCTCCAGCTAGATGAACACTGCTCCCCATTCTCTATTTTTGTTGAATTTTTCCTTTTTTGAGATGGGTGAGTGAGTTCAATGTTATTCGGTGAGCTCTCTGCACCAATAATGAGGTTAGGTCATTGATTTCTTCAAAATAAAAATGTTCATTTAGGTGGTTTTCTCCAATTGAGGTGAGGTGCATAACACATGCTGTCAACTTTGACCTTTGCTGACTATTTTAATCATAACTTTTTCCACACACCTCCAAATGATGTGATTCCTTTTTTATTAGAAAGTAGACTCAAAGATCTTTCCAATGACTACTAATTTATAATTTTTGGACACCTGAGTAGGTGCAGTTAATTCTTTAAAGTTAACGTTTTATATATTTCTACCACCTCTGACCTTTGCTGGTTGTTTTGCTCATAACTTTCTCCACCGAACTCCAAATGAGTTGATTCTTGTTTTGTTGGAAAGCTCTTTGAGTCTAGATTCCAACAAAACAAGTATCAAGTCGTTTGGAGTTCGGTGGAGAAAGTTAAGAACAAAACAAGTAGTAAAGTTCAGAAAAACAGAGTTTGGGAGCAGTGTTCATCTAGTTGGGGAGTACAGTTGAAGTTTTTGTACAAATTACCCATTTTCCTCGGGTAATCGATTACAAGACCCTTGTAATCGATTACCAGGGCAGAAATTGGCCAAAAATGCTTATGAAGCTCATCTAACTTACATGAAAGCACCTAAATGACATTTTTTCTCAATAATTCAATGACTTAACATGTTCCTACACCATACACACTAGACACATGCACTTGTAATCGCTTACAGAGAAGCTGTAATCGATTACCAGGTTAAAATTGCATTTTTGTACTGAAAGTTGATTTGCGCTACCCAAATGTGACAATTGCGCTCCCCATGATTGTTTTTTGTGAGTGTCTTTTTAAGATATTGTCAATGGAGGACCCTTGTTGGTCATGGTTGATGGTTTTCACAACTTGTAGTGTGAAGTTTGGTAAGTCTTCTGTGTAGGGAAGACCCATCCTGGGTGGTCTTAGCAACGCAGGTTAGGTCCTGCACCATACACTGTGGAGACATGCACTTGTAATCACTTACAGAAAGGCTGTAATTGATTACATGTTAAATTTGCAGTTTTGTACTGAAAGTTGATCTATGCTACTCAAGTGTGACAACCGCGCTCCCCATGATTGTTTTTTTGTTTGTTATGAGTGTTTTTAAGATTTTATGAATGAAGGACCCCTGTTGGTCATGGTTGATGGTTTCTACAACTTCTAATGTGAAGTTTGGTAATGAATCAATGGTGAGTGCGAAAAAGCCCAAACCTTGGTGATACCAACCTCGATGGTGTGTGCGAAAAAACCCAAACCTTGGGAGAAATATCGCCAACCACAATGGGAGACAAAAGCCAAATACTTACACAACCACGAAAATGTCGTCAACGACAATGCACGCCAAAATCAACAAAATTCCAAAACGAGGGATATATACCGCCAACGAGCCCACAGTCACACCATCAAAATATGGGGAAATGGATAAAGAGAGACAAAATCCTCGACAGTGACCAAATGACCCAAGAAATGAAGTAAGAAAAGTCGAACTCAAACTCAAAGGGGAGAGAGAAACAACATTTCAATGGTGGACAAAGAGTGAAGAAAAGCGACGAACGAAGAGAACCGAAACGGTGGAGAGAGATGGATGCTTCAATGGTAGAGAGAGATGGAAGCTTCAATGGTGGAGAGAAAGTTGAGAAAACCAAACTGCAAAAAAAGTGAATCTGAAAAAATAAACTGACAAAAGGAGTTTCTATCCAAATTCATACCAAAATTGCCCTTCTGAACAAATTTCATCTTTCTAAAAAAACCTTTTAAAACCAATCAATGAAACAAGGCCACGTGTCGTTGTCAAAAAGTTGGCAAAATAGCGTTGTCGAACAAACGTTTTCCCTGTAATATTGAGCATATTTTTAAAGATTCTTTGTCTTAACATTTTGGTGAGAAAAACAAAAGGCATCTTTCATTGAAGAATATATTCAAAATGGCATGCCTAAGCTTCAGTTTCCCATAAAAAATTGAAGCATTTTTATTTTTGAGGTCTGATCAAATAGATATCAAAATGCATGTAATTAGAGGACTTACACCTTTGCAAGTAAAGGTAACAGACGCTGTTGATGACTAGGGTAATCGAGAAGTAAAACTTCAGGCCCATTTGGTGTAATGGAGAATGCCCGCCTTGTCAGTGCATATCTTATAGCAATGGCCAAGCTAATCTAAGGACAAATAAAGGACACGATAAGTTAAGATATCAAATTTGGAATGAGTTAGTTAAATACAAAGAAAATAAAAAACACAGACAAACGTGAAATCCACAGACATAGATGGTCTCACTACCTTGGAAATGTAAACAGCAGTAGCAGCAATAATAACCCGACCACTGGTCAACGGGGCTAAGAAAGCAGCAAACCTCTGTAGCAAGAATAACGTACAACAAAAGATACGTGAACAAGCTTCTCAAAGTGAATAAAGAAGACCACAAGGAGACCAAAGGGAATATCATCTCTCTGAAAAAGCAAATCACCTGATCAACATTTTTTATGTCACTCAAATATTCACCAGTTGGGGAAACATCACCCACAGAATTCAACAAATTCTCCCGAGGTATCCTCACATTATCAAACCTGAGGATCCGTGTCCAGAGTTTCTGAGTTCATTCATTTATATGAGATTCATTTTTCAAGCACAACTTGTTTGAAGATGCATATATTACCAGATACGGCCATTATCAACTCCATTTACACCAATTTTGTGACCACAATCGGCTATTCGAATGTTTGGACATATGTTTCCATCTGAATCCCTGATTTGGGCAATGAATGCATGCACCCCTTGATTGCTTCCATTTACATAGAGCTGTGAAAAGACTATAGTATGTGTTGCATGCTGAATAGGAGAACAAGTTAATAATAAAGGGTTAATATATACAAAGTTGGAGCAGGAGAAAAATGTAAGCACCCATTCTCTTCATGTCTAGGCTTTTAAATAATTATGAATTATACAAAAGGAATCATTACATTTGCTGCACCACCAATCCAATACTTCTGACCCGATTCACATGGAGTATTGACTACAAATTCTCCAGTGTTTGAATCATAAGTAGTGACTGTTTCAATTCCTCGCACCTGTAAAAATTAGTGTGGAAAGAATTATTAAAGGTAACGGAAAAATCATAATAAATTACTAGCGGACCAAATGAACCCAACTAATTTAGCAATATTCACGTACATTACTTCCATGGCCCAACTCAGACAAAGCAAAACAACCCTTCATGTCATAGTTTTCAGTAGCCGTTAACCACTTGTCATGATGGCGCTTGGTTCCCAAAAACTTCACGGCCCCTCCCCTGAAATCCATTATCCATATCATTCTAGTTAGCTTGAAAAAGGTACTTGTAGGACCAACTTGATATTGTTTTCTAACTTTCACCAACTCATAGAAAAAGGATAAATCACGTTTTTCCTCCTTAGAACTGTTTGGAAAAGGATTTTCAATCCGTTAATCACATCAGTCCGTATTCAATACAGCATTATTCATGACATTAGTATATTTTCCCTATCAATGCAGGTTGGTTACTTGTCAGCACAGGTCTAGTTTACAATGTATTTGGAACAACTAAATGAATTTTAACAGCTTCATGCATTTGGAAGCCCCCATCCAAAACGAGTGTTGTACACAGAGCTGAGAAGAGAGGGAATTCTAGTAATAACTTTTTCAATTTTAGAACCGCTTACTAAATTTAGTAGATTTTTAGGATATTGTAGCGTTTTCAGAGACTAGTGCCAGCAACTACCACATGTTACACAATTCATCCAACGATACCTAACTTGAATTATATAGCTACCAAACTATCAAATCCAAATAACAATGTAGAACAGAGTGTACAAAAAGCCTAACTTGAATTATATAGCTACCGAATGACAAACCTAACTTGTATTTTATTTTGGATCAATACCATTTACCCAAGAGTGTTACTCCCTCCACCACCCCATCTTCTCCCTCCACCTCTCCAATTTTTTCTAAATTCCAATCCTACCCTTTTTACTTTTACCCATTTTACTTTTTATTTTTTGAAACCCTAATCCCCTTTCACTTTCACTCTTTTTCTCACACGCAAGCCTCCCTCACTCACTTTCACTTTCTCTCTTTCTTTTCAATTTCCACCGTTAACACCATTCTCCATTTCTGCCTTTTCTTCATTCTTTATTCTCGAAAGCTTAGTTACGATTATATATGGTTTGATCACTTTTGTCATATTTTTTAAAAAGTAATGGAAAGAAGTTGGCAGTTTGAACAATAAATTTCATGTGGTAGTTCATCAACATATGTGGATGTGAGGATTTCTGAATGTGGTGTATATTCAATAAACTAATTTTGATATTCAAAGTCATAGGGTAGGATACATAGTGGTGACGTAGAGAAGGTGAAGAGGACTCGTGACACTGTTAGCCGAAGAAGATTATAGGGATTAATTAGATTGTTATCAAATGTAGAAATTGAAAAGAAAGAGAGAAAGTGAAAGTGAAACGAGATTAGGGTTTTAAAAAATAAAAAGTAAAATAGATAAAGGTAAAAGTAAAAAGAATACATTTGGAATTTAAAAAACAATAGAGAGGTGGAAGAAGAAGATGAGAAAGTGAAGGGAGTAACACTCTTTTAGACAATTCATCCAACAACAAACCAAACTCGAATTATATAACTAACAAACAATCAAATCCAAATAACAAATTTTAAAATAAAATAAAATTAAAAATAAATAAAATATAATATAAATTAAATATAAAATTAATAATTAAATTTAATCTAATAAAATATAAATTAATTTAAATTTTAATTAAATTAAATTTAAGAAAAAATAAAAAAAAATTAATTTTAATTTTTTTCAGGGTTATAATATTTACATTGAACTTTTTTCATATCATAAGTTAAGAAAGGTAATAAAAATTATTTCTGCAAATTATTTATGCAAAAGCTAAATGTAGGAAATTGTATAATTTTTTTTTGACTTTCGTCTCCCAAAATACTCACAAAGAAGTCCAAACTGATCGTTGTGGTATAAATGGTTTCTGATGAGTTGACAATATAGGCTACATAGAAACTAAGCTCTTATTCAAATTCCAACTACTCTGAAGAAGAAAACTATAGAAAAAGAAAAGAGAAAACATAACCAACCAGAGGAAGTAGTGAACCCCAAGCTTAACAGCAAGGGAGTGATCATACATCCCTATAACCTCATAGAGCGCAAGTTTCCTCAGCTCCTCCCCCGGACCCTCGCCAGTGAGCCACCCTCGGAAAACTCCTCTCTCCACAAGATACTCTATGCGCCTCATGGTGGCTTCGCGCTGCTGCTCCATGGACTGGTTGTAGTCGGGGCAGACGAAAATTCTGCCGGCGCGCTCGCGGCGGTTGAAGAGTGCGCTCTGCACGATGACGGAGAAGAGCCAATCGCGGTCCTCCAGATTGTGCCCGTCCATTAACCTTCGCATCTCCCGCAAGTCGAACGCGAATCCATTGGAGAGCTCGGGAGGGGAGTAGCTCAGGCAGCGGTGGGGATGAAGAACGGAGGAAGGTGGCGGTGCACGGCGGAGGAGGTGGTTGATTAGGATCTCGGTTCGACGGGAGACACGGTGATCCATGGCGAGAGGGCTGGGGAATGGTGGATGGAAAGTTGACGAGCCAGAACTCAGTGAACCTATGAGAAAGTGTGTGTGACTCTTTATATATATATATATATATATATATATATAT